CTTCCAGAAACAAAACCACAATAGTCTCTGTTATTTATACCTTCCCAATTTGCAGTTGTCTGCAGTTTCCTTAGCTGGTTGTTTGATGCAGATGATTGTGTTTGGTAGCCGCTGCAACATTTAATATTTCTGTCTGGTCATAATCCACAACTGTAAACTAGATATCTTCGTAATTCCTTTGAGTTCCTCTTAGCTACTTATTTCCTGTATGGATGTGTGTCTTACCTTCTACTTACTGATAGTAAATTTCATATATTTAGCCAAGGTGAGACAAGAAATACTTTCTGCATTAGTAATAACAATGAATAATGCTGTTATTGAGTTTCTTGTCTTTAGTATATACAGTCTGGTTGTATCGAAGGATGAATTGTGTTTCAGGAAGGCCTAAGTCTTTTCTTTTTGTAGGTGGTTGTTGGTGTGAAACAGAGATTGTTTTCTGCAGAAGGGATGTTTGTCAGTTATTTCAATAATGCAGATATGCAGGGATTTATAACCAGTGTCTCGTGATAATTATCATTTTTCCCCTTCAAGAAGTAATAGATAAAAGCAACTTTTTATTGTATCTAAAATCTTTGCCTATAACTATAATTATATTTCTGTACCAGGAGATTGTGTGCATATCAAAGAAATTTGCTGTAAAAGAAAATTGCACATAATAAATAAAGGCATCATAGATTTTTCAAGGCAAATTATGTATTTTTGGCCTCAGAGCACTTAGGTCATATTATGTATTTCTTGAAAAATAAAAAGATGTGCAGGGAAAAACTCTACTTGGATGAAATTTTATTAAAATATGTTTTCAAAAACAGTTATCAGGAAGTAAGCTAGTTATTCACTCCTTGCTAGGAATTAATACTGAACTTTGAGATCAGTTTTCCTGCAAAAACTACTTGGGAGCATTGAATCTTCATAGCTTGAATGACTTGGACTGAGAATATGCCTGATGCGTATTGCAGTTCATTCTGTTGCTTTTTTAATATTGGTTTCTATTTGTGTATTTAATGAAATAGGAGTTTCTAACTGAAAATGCCAGGACATAAGTTGCTCAGATTATGGCCACTCACAGGCTTTCTCACCTTGTAAACACTCATTTTCAACAAGTTGATTTATGCTGATTTAAAGGAACTCTGTGCAACAGGGATGTGGCTTATGTATTAGTTATATTTAGACTGAAGTATCCCATTTAGATGGGAGAATAATGCTTTGAATACTATTAGCAGAGATGAGATTTTGTTTATAAACAGACACCTGAGGTCACATGGAAATGGAATTTTTCTTCTGCTTGGTGGAGAGCCAAAGAGGGCTTAGATCAGTGTAATGGTTGTTACAGAACAGGGTTTTTTTGATAGTCTGCATTGAATGTAACTGTCCCTGAAGTTAGTTAAAATACACATAGATGTGGTGCTTACAGACGTCGTTCAGTGGAACTTGGCTGTGCAGGGTTAATGATTGGACTCAGTGATCTTAAAGGTTTTCTCCAGCCAAAATGTTTCACAGATTTTATGATTCAGGGTTAGGTTTCAGATTTTGTTTTTTTAAGTTTTAAAACTACATGTTTAAGGCTGTAACGTGATAGGTAAATGAACTAGTACTAACACTGTGTTTTAGTCATTCTCACAGTGGTTTTTAGAACTACTTTCCCCAGCAGAAACACTGTAGCACAGTGCTTTTCAGTGCATCTCCTATTTGTTAAAGTGTTAGCAATAAGATGTTTGGATTGCATCAGGATTTTCAAGTCTGGTGAAAGCCAAACTACCTGATAAAGTAGTTACTTTGCAATAGGCTTCCAGTTTAATAGCAGTTTCTCAGCAGTAGTTTTTAGTTGGCTTGTGAGGTTTCCCTTTCCAACATTCTTGACTCCTCCGTTTTCTGCCATTTTATTTCTGCTGCCATGTAGGGAAGGATCTTTCATGTTGCTTGCTTAGCCCTAGACTCCACTTCTGCCACAAGACCGTGTTATTCTTTTAGTACCTTGCTCCTCTTGACTTACCTTTTCACCTTTATGGTGACTGATTATGCCAATAAAATTTGTTAGAGAATGAAATTGTTGTTTTAACAGTAGTTGAATTCACCTTTCAGTGGCTCTGAACAAGTTGAGTTCCCATGTTGTAAATGTGGTTTTCTATTCCCAAGTGCAGTATAATGATGTGTCTTCAGCTTCAGCTTAGAAATGCCATTTATAATGACAAATAAAAGACTACAGTTAGGGGGTACGGTTTCATACAGTGCCAGAAACTCTGGATAGCTCTGTAAAAGCTAAATTTAATTTGTTCCACAAATGTTTTTTAAAATTCACTTGTGTATTTGCATGCATATTTGGTGTATGACACCCACTTTACTACTGCTATTGCCAAAACAGTTAATTAGTATTAGACTATGCTGAATGGATAATCAAAAATAGGAAAAGTGTATGTTCTATTTGCTTTCAACAAGTGATGTTCTGTAGGAAAGGATATATGGAATCATAGAATCGTCAAGGTTGGAGGAGACTTCCAGGATCATCAAATTCAACCATTAACCTGCCACTCCACTGTAACCCCTAAACCCTAAACTGTATCTTCCAGCACCAGATCCAGATGCTTCTTAAGCACTTCTAGGGATGGTGACTCCTCCACCTAATGCAACCTATTCTAGTGCCTGACCAGGCAACAGAATAGTGCAACAAGGTATTCTCGTAAAGTTGTTCTTTAAACCCACTGCAGCAAAAGTTGAGAAACTGTCTAAGATGCCAATATTAGAGACCAATGCTAATGGATGGAAAAACAATCTGTTTGGGTAATATAATAATTATTATATTAAGTAATTATTAAAGGAATGTTTCAGATACTTTTGTGTGATTATATAGTGGCCAGTGATACTTTCACTAGAAATACTGGGATTACTTAAAGCCTAATTCAAATAAAAGGCTTAGTTTAAAAGAAAAATTCTTGGACATTATGCTGTAGAAAAGTTAATATGTCAAAGTTGTGTGTTGGAAACCACACAAAGGACAAAACTGCACTGTAAGTACTGATCCAGGCATTCATGGTATATATTTTTCTGGTGATATAATAAAAAGAGTGGGGTTTTAGTTAAAAAAATATTTTGCCTTTCTCATTTCTCCATGTTAGTATTTCATATTTACTTTTTGAAATTTGTGCTGAATTGAAATTATTCAGAAAGCTTGAGTATGAAGGGCATTGGACATGCAGTTTTAGTACCACCATAATTCTTTTATTCTTTGCAAGTTTGTTTGCAATGTGTCATTTGTAATGCATTGTCCAACCTATCACACTTTGCCACGTTTCTTCTCTTAATTTTTTGTAGAAATTTAAATTGACAGCTAGGGAAGACTATTGTGTGATGAGCTTCAGGTGAAAGATAAATTACTTTTTCACAAACTTTGTCTGTCCCTTTGAGCATAAAGTGTTATGTTGTATAATTTGAACAGGTGAAATCTGGCTACATGGAATCTCAATCTTGCCGTGTTTTCCAAAATGGTACAGGTTTAGAGCGTTGTGTAGACTAAGGATAGGCTTCAGATCCTAGTACAGTGTGTAGTTTTGAAATTCTGTGCTCCATCTAAATTTGTCCTTCTGTGCAGCAGCCCGTAACAGAATCCATGCTCTTGCATGGATTCAACCCCTTCTAGCATTGTCAGTTGGAGATACTGCTAGCTGATTTTGACCATTTTCAAATGTCCTTGGGTTCCTGTTGTTCTGTCTGCTGTAGTAAGTTGGAAAATGCTCAGTGTTCTACAGTGCAAGAACTTTTAAAAAAGCTCAGTTGCTGAAATTTTTTTAGGGGGGATGGTGGGGGTGGTAGGGCCATGGGGTGGGAGTATGGAATTTAGGCATGGCCTGCCTCTGAGGCATACTATTGTATTACTATATATTTAACTAAGAGAATGTCCTGAATTTTAGATTTAGATAAAACTAAATATACTGCATGTTTTGTAGCCAGAAGTCGAAAAAAGGAAGTCTTAGGACTTGCTTGGCTCATCTAAATAGATGCTGATTTCCAGCATCGATTAATTAATGTCCATGTGTCTTATGGCAGTGTTGTTCTTTAGCTTTTGAGACTCTGATGTTTACTCCACTGACGCTTTTTCACCCAAGTAAATATTTTTTTTCTGGCCTTCTTTCCAAAGCAAGACTTCTTCCATTCAAATGGCTAGCTATGTATTGGATATATTCAAGAAAAAGGAATTCAAGCTGGAATTTTTCAGGAATTTTGTGCAAGAACTGTGGACGATATTCCAAATAGTGTCTTTCTGGGACTTTGTACATTGATGTTTAATGCTTCTTTCATTCTGCTTTGAAAATCTTGTCTGGCTCTTCCCCCACCCACCCTTCTGTGTTGGCTGCATCATGTTTATTAGCTGTTTTTTTCCTTTTCCAAGAGTGAAGTAAAATTGACATTTTACTACTTTGTCCTTAAAGTGTGCGTTTCATTAGACTTATGTGATGTCAGTTCCCTGGGTCATCCCCTTTGCCCTCTGTGATCTTTCTCAGCATTAATGATGCTTCCTGTCTTCATTTGATACTTTTCTACATTTTGTGTCTAGTTCCTTAATGCAAGCAATTCTTAAACCTTTACTTTAGGATCTCTTATATCAACTATACATGATTATTTTTCTTTCAAAAAAAATTTTGGATAACCACTGATTGTTTTTTTTAATGTACTTTAGAGTTCTTATGTAAACCCTTCTGAGTAGTAATAAATATTCTTATGTGTATTATACTTCACTGAGAGTGAGGTGTAAAGGATTTGCTGTATTTTTTGTCTTGTTTGGGAAATGAGTTACCACAGAGGACTGCTAAATTACTCTTGAGCAGTCCACCTTTCATGTAACTAAGATTTGTCTCTACAGAATTTGTTCTGAACCCTTGAATTTTATTTAGACCAAAGAAAGAGATGTCTTACTTAAAATTATTTTCATATTTATAATTGAAAAAATTTTAAATAAAGCACTATATTATCAGTAAACTTTTCAAATAGAGTCTGAATATGTCTTTCAGCCAATGGTAATGACAACAAGAAGTTCAAAGGTGATGATAAAATGGATGGGGCTCCTTCTCGTGTTCTTCATATCAGGAAATTGCCTGGGGAAGTGACAGAAACAGAAGTTATTGCTTTAGGTTTACCTTTTGGTAAAGTAACCAACATCCTGATGCTGAAAGGGAAAAATCAGGTAATATGTTTCTTCCATTTTTTAATATGCTTACTGTCTGATTTAAAATACATTCTTAACATGCTATTGCAATAAGTCATATAACAGTAAGTATTAAAGAAAAAAGAGCCTTTCTTCCTTTAATTTTTTTAATGAACTTACACTATCCTTTAGAACATTTTTTTGGGGGGGAAGGGGCTGGTTGGCAGCTACGTAAAGCAAAAAATTAGCTAGAAAACAAATATTTTTGACAGATGAATTTTTGGAGATGAAGTAGCTTAACAAATAAAGTTGTTATGTCGAGAATGACGTTTTCCAAAGACCAGTATTTGTCGAAATGTGTTCTCAAATCCTGCAAGTGGGTTTTTTTTTTTTTTTTTAATATACTGCTGATAGGAAGTTCATCTGCTTTGCAAATACTGAAAATTAACTGGTTTAATTACAGGCGTTTTTGGAACTTGCCACAGAAGAAGCAGCTATCACTATGGTTAATTACTACTCTGCTGTGACACCTCATCTTCGTAACCAACCTATCTATATCCAGTATTCCAATCATAAAGAACTGAAGACTGATAACACACTTAACCAGGTATATTTGCTGTTCAGTAGTATTACAGATGCAGACAGTAGAAGATGAGGCATGGCATGTATTCTTTGCTCATGTAGCATATGTTTAAATCATTTGGTTTTGTCCACATTTTAACACTATTGTAGTCTTACCTATGATCATTCCATTTTGTGACACTGAAGGGGATTTGCTTTCTGTGTGATCTTTGCATTATGATGAATTTTCCTAATGTTTTCCTAATGTAAAAAGAAAAATTATGAAGTGCTTTAACTTTAAATGACTTTAAATGGAAAGTTATCATCATGGTTTAGAGACTATAGGATGATAAAATTAACTTTGTGATTCTGACACCTGAGATTCCAATGCCAATTTGAATTCCCCTAGTTTTAGTGGCTAATGCCAATGCTTTATGTTTGTGCTTTGAAGGATAACTCCAGTAGCACTGGTAACCTCAGCTTACATGATCTGCTGTTCCTTGAGAAGAATATCATAATGATCACTCTAGAGTCAGATACACTCGATAACAAAAAAACCCCATTTTGCTCTTGCAGAACATATTTCACAATAAATACAGATTCATATATCCAGTTTTAGTAGAACAGAATTAGCAAAAGTGATGCGACCATTTTGTACAAACTGTAGAGGGATAAAAGAGACTCAACTTGGCACAAGTCAGATAGTTATATTAAGATTAATTTCTTGTGTTGTCTTTTTGATGATGCAAAAAGGAGTGTAAGTGCCAGGTTACAGTTTCTGTTAATTGCATCCTCTCTTAGGAGATGTAAGTAGTAAAATTGTAGCTGTTGCCTTTGAAAACAATTTCAAGGTAATCTCTTGAAGCACATTTTGGTTCAGATCAAGTATAGTGTTGATTTTCCTGTTGGTCTAAATGTTCCCATTCTTTAAGATCTTCTGATATTCTGGTAAAAGTGCTTTTTAAAAAATTGAGATTCTTCATCCCCCAAAATGTCAGTTACAAAAAAATTGAATACCTTCATTTACATATGAGAAAGTAGAGTACAGAATGAATTCTGTCTGTACATACAGTGGATGGACATACTCCCTTAAGATGTGTTCTCTTACAGTCTGCCCTGGTTTCTCTCTCTGCTGATGCTGGTTTTGTAGTTCACGTTTACTTTTCCAATGTATAGGATGTGCTGACTTTTCTGCAGCTGTTCTGCCACCACACATATTAATATCCAATCTTAACATATATTCCAAGTCTTTCAGAACCTAATCGTAGAATCATGGAAGAGTCCTTTAAGATCATCCTGTCAAACCATTAACCTAGCATTTCCCCTGTAATCCCTAAACCATTATCACCCAGCACCAGATCCAGATGCCTCTTCAAACACCTCCAGGAATGGTGACTCTACAACCTCCTTGGGCAATCTATTCCAGTGCCTGACCACCTCTACAGTGAAAATATTTTTTTCTAATATCCAATCTGAAGCTTCCCTGTCTCATCTTAAGGTCTTTTCCTCACTGCAAGCATTCTAGAATGACCAGCCTCCACCTCATTGCAGCCTCCTTTCAGGTAGTTGTAGAGAGCAATGAGGTCACCCCTGAACCTCTTCCCCAGACTAAACATCCCCAGGTCCCAGAACAGTTCTTAAGACTTGTTTTCTAGACCCTTCACCAGCTCTTTTGCTGTTCTCTGGACATGCTGCAGCACCTCACCATCCTTTGCAAAGTGAGGGGCCCAAAACTGAGCACAGTACTGGAGGTGTGGCCTTGTAAGTGCTGAGTACAGAGGGACAATCACTTCTCTAGTCCTGCTGACTACTCTATGCTTCATACAGGCCAATATGCCACTGGGCTTCTTGGCCACCTGGGCACACTGCTGGCTCATGTTCAGCCAATTTTGCTCATTTTAATTTAAGTTTAATTTAGAACTAAATAATATGAATAGGTACTTGGCAGTAAGTATTCTGTAACTAGTGTCTCCTGAGGCATTCTATAAAACCTAAGATGATTGCATAGTCTTTTTGCTGTAAGAAAAAATAAAGGTGGTGTAAGCAATGAGGCCTGAACCTCTTCCCCAGACTAAACATCCCCAGGTCCCAGAACAGTTCTTAAGACTTGTTTTCTAGACCCTTCACCAGCTCTTTTGCTGTTCTCTGGACATGCTGCAGCACCTCACCATCCTTTGCAAAGTGAGGGGCCCAAAACTGAGCACAGTACTGGAGGTGTGGCCTTGTAAGTGCTGAGTACAGAGGGACAATCACTTCTCTAGTTTCCCCAGACTAAACATCCCCAGGTCCCAGAACAGTTCTTAAGACTTGTTTTCTAGACCCTTCACCAGCTCTTTTGCTGTTCTCTGGACATGCTGCAGCACCTCACCATCCTTTGCAAAGTGAGGGGCCCAAAACTGAGCACAGTACTGGAGGTGTGGCCTTGTAAGTGCTGAGTACAGAGGGACAATCACTTCTCTAGTCCTGCTGACTACTCTATGCTTCATACAGGCCAATATGCCACTGGGCTTCTTGGCCACCTGGGCACACTGCTGGCTCATGTTCAGCCAATTTTGCTCATTTTAATTTAAGTTTAATTTAGAACTAAATAATATGAATAGGTACTTGGCAGTAAGTATTCTGTAACTAGTGTCTCCTGAGGCATTCTATAAAACCTAAGATGATTGCATAGTCTTTTTGCTGTAAGAAAAAATAAAGGTGGTGTAGGTATTACTTGTAGTCTGGTGGGTTTTTTGGATACTCAAAAGCTAAAATTTGAATCTGTATTTGAAGGCTTTCTTATCAACTCAAAATCATTTTAAAATTATCTTTTTCTAGATGTTCAGGCAGGAAGATGTGAAGAAGTTAGAATGTTAAGATGTTTAACTGGAAAGGATAAAAAAAATTGGAGGAAGGTGCAAGTATCTTAGTTACAAAGAAGACAGAAATAAATTATTTCACCAAGCGGTTCTTTAAACAGTCAGGCCTTGGCTGAAGAAGTTTCATTAAGCTATGCTATTTTGAAGTTCAGTTTCTGAGATTATTTGTACTTATATGCACATAATGAGTTGGTTCTGAATAAACGGATTCAAAAGGGACCGTTTAAGTTTTCATTTCAGTTCTATAATTCTATGAAAATCCTTTTCCTGTGAGACATCAAAACAGCGAGAAGAACATTTAAAGTCAGATATAAAACAAATATCTCTTCCCTTGTTTCATACAGTATCTAGACTCAGGAGAATTGAGAATAGAATGACCTCTATAACTGTAGTTCTCTTTAATCATCAACCTGTCATAAATGCATGGGTTTAGTCCTCCTGATGCTCTGGGTGGTGTTTCTGATATTTTGAAATTAATTTCAAGTTTGAAAAATAAAGAAAAAACTTAAGTGTTTTCAAATTGGCTATTTATATAATGCTAAATGCTACTTTGAACATGACAAAATACTGATTATTTTATTAATTACTAATTTTACTTAAGTTACTAATTTTATCATTTGCTAGTGTTAAGTCCTATATTTCTTCATGTGTTCACATTAATTTTAGTGGCATGAAATATGATATGTAAGCATAGATGGATAGTGCTAACAGGGGTCATATGTTAAAATTGACAAGTTTTAGTTCTTTGGGTTATGCAGTCTAAACTTTTCCAGTCACTTTAAGGAGCGCATTTTAATTGATAAGTGCTTCTTCTGTGCTTACAGAAAGAGTAGGAAGTATTTATGCAATTCAGCCAAATATCTGGCCAGCTTGAAAGTTGTGTGTTTCATATATTAGAGGAAAAAACATGTTGTTATCAAAAGATGTTTCTATCGACTTACAGTAATTAATGTTAAATGTAGAGGTAAATTTTGTTTTCCCAGCTGGTCTTCACCAGGTCTTTTTTTTTTTCCCCCCACTTTCCTTACTCATTGATTCGTTTCAGTATGAGGAATATCATGTAAGTTGTGAGACATGAAATTATGTAGTAGCTCTAATACCTTTAAAATATGCAGTATGCATTAATATGATGGTTATTATTTTTACCTGGCATGCTCACTTGTCTCTCTGTTTTGTATTGTTTTGCTTCATAAGGCTACTGTTATGAAAGCATTAAATGGAACCCCTTTTTTTCTGCACTTTTTCTTTCTCAGAAAAAGACATCTAATCTTTCCAATACTGTCAGTTTTGGCAGTGGAAGTAGTTACATAGATGTGTGTTCTTGTGATGTCATCATGTGGTTACCTTTGAATTTCTAAAATCCTGCTTGTGTTTAAAAACCAAAAATTCC